GCTATGCCGGTGAATTCTGTCGCTTTCAAATGCGCCCCGGCATCTATGAGTACAATGTGGTGCATGCCAATCAATTTATTGTTACCATCAAGGATCACAAGGGTTGCACCATCTTTCAGAGTTTGCTCTCCAGGTGCAGGTGAGTGGACAACACTGACCTTCATCTTGACTATAATATAACTTTCAAAGAAAACTTTAAGTCTACCATTAATTGTCATTAATTCAAAATTTCACCTCTGCTCGACTTTCTGCTCTGAAGCTTTTGATTTTCTTGCTTTTTTCTGAGATCCCACTGGGAACTCTTAATTCATGCTTATTTATTGCACTGTACTTTTCATAGCATGTTGTATTCTAAACGCAGCTGGTGCTATATAATAGCACGCGATTCAAGTAAATTACTTTATTGTATATGTAAACACAACTTGCTTTCAGCTTTGAGCTTTTGTTTATTTGATATCGTGAAAGTCATCTCATGAAAATGTTTATTAGCCTACACCAATACATCTTAGTTTTTATTTGCATTTCATTATTCAGCTTTTGCTGAATTTATTGATGAACTATTTCTACGTGAATCTAAAATGTCTGGACTATTTAGCTCATACTAGTACTTTTTCCTTCAATCAGAAATATTAAATAAAGCTAAAAATGTTAAACTGATGCTGTTAATATTACATGATTGAATTAACATTAGTGACACAGCCTCTGTTGATAACCTGTTAAAATCACGCTGTTAATGTTAACATTAACAGCACGTCTTTCATTAGCAGCTAACATAGTTACAAAGCTAATCTTCAGAATGACTAATAATAATCACGTATGGTTATAAAATAACATATCTGTACATGTATGTGTTTCATATTTCCATATGTTTTAATGCTAAAATTAAGTTCTTACAACCTTAAATACGACATTTGAATGTCCCGTATTATATATAATTTTTGCTATTCTTCTACTTCTACTAATAACACATCCGTGGCCTACTTCTGATCTCGTACTATTCCCTTCAACCCCTAGCTAAACCTTTTCTCTTCACTCGACCACTAATCACTACCACATTATGATTCTGGTAATCCACTAATTAACGGACTAATGTCAATGAATTTAATTTATAATTTCACAACGTGATATTTTTCTCTCTCATTTTGGCTGCACCCAAAACACGTCAAATAATCGACAACAACAACAACAATCAAAACACGTTCTGATACTGGGGAAAATGGAAAAACTATTATTGGGTTTATTTTTGTTGCTTGCGGGAAACGATTTGGTTTGCTTTGCTTATCAACAATCCATTCATAAATGCAAACAATATATATATATACATACATCATATATATGCGTATGCGAATCTGTAGCACCAAATCATTTAAGGCAAAGACCAACAACAACGATGCTGAGGCCGATGAAGCCGATGCACAAAAAACTAAATGTCAACTGCCCAATTGCAGCAGCCGACCCAGGCAGCCACTGAGTGCCTGGCACTCGAATATCGAAGACTCCCGCTGCAGTTATACGGGTCTATATCCGCGCGCCTGGACCGAATACGATCTGTCGCACTATGGTGTGCGATTGATCTGTCGCCAGATCTCGCCCGTGATACCGCACGACTACAAGGAATCCAGTTTGCCCTGCGCCGTGTTCGTGTGGTCTGTCCAAAATGTGTGCGATCAGGAGCGCAAGGTGTCCATTACGTTTACGTTTAAGAATGGCACCGGCAACAAAAAACAGGATGCGGATGGCAATGCCGAGTCGCAGCTAATCAGCGAGGGCAATGCCAAGGGCGTGGCCATTAGGCAGAATATTGCAGATATGCCCTGCAGCTATAATCTGGCCTGTCGCGTGCTACCCGAAATAAGCATAACACGTTGTCCCCAATTCGATCCGGCTGGCAATGGCGAACAGCTGTGGGCACAGCTCAAGGAGCATGGCCAGCTCAGCGAGCAGCCCACCGCGGAGACCCTGAGATGTAAGTAGAAGAAATTCCAATAAGTACAAATAGATCTCAATATTGTCTCAAATGGCCATATAAATCTTGAAACCGTAAAATCGAATTGCAAATTATTTAATTCCAAACTCTGCCCACAGCCAAGGACATAGGTGTAGCTGTCTGCGCACAGCTGGCACTCAAGCCGCAGGCCTACCATGAGCTGGAGTTTGTGCTGGCCTGGGACATGCCCAAGATACAATTTCCGCGCAAGCTGCAAACGCACACACGCTACTATACCAAATACTTTGATGACAGCGGCGAGTCCGGCCCCAGGATATGCGAGTATGCACTGAAGCATTATGCCAGCTGGGAGCGGCTCATTGATGCCTGGCAGCGACCCATACTGAATGATGAGTAGGCTTTCATATCAGCTTTATATAGCTAATTCCGAGCTAAACTCTTGTTTATTTTTTATAGCGGCCTGCCCGATTGGTATAAATGCGCCATATTCAATCAGCTTTATTTCATCTCGGATGGCGGCACAATCTGGCTGAAATGCGACTCATCGCTGGGCCAGTCGCTGGCTTTTGATGATCCACGCTTGGCATATGGTCGCTTTGGTTATCTGGAGGGTCATGAGTATCGCATGTACAATACGTATGATGTGCATTTCTATGCCTCGCCCGCGTTGGCGCATCTGTGGCCCAATTTGCAGGTCAGCTTGCAATACGATTTCAAAGATGCGATTGCCGCTGAGCTGAATGATACACGTAAAATGCTCTACGATGGAAAAGTAATGCCGCGCAAGGTTAAAAATTGCGTGCCACACGATCTGGGTGATCCCGATGAAGGCAAGTTGCCAAGGACTTGGTCTTGATTACTTGATTAAATCAGCTTTTCCTACATTGCATTCCATTATGCAAGCAAAATATAATATAAAACTTTCTTCTAGAACCCTTTACACTGATCAATTGCTATAACATACACGATGTGAATGACTGGAAGGATCTCAATACGAAGTTTGTGCTGCAAGTCTACAGAGATTACTATGTGCTCAATGAACTGGCCCAAGCGCAAGCGGACAATGCCAGCAAATTCAGTTCGATTGAGTTTATTGACAAGGAGAGCCTCTACGAGCTGTACACGCAGGACAACAAGCGCAAGAACTCGGCGGAGGAGAAACAGCGTAAGAATAAAGTAGCGTGTTATACAGACAAATCTCTACATGTTATCTCTCTATTTATTCCTTCAGAGAATCGTAAATCTGCCTCTATGTACATCAATGAGACCAATGGCAAGGTCTATCTCATGGATGCCATGGGCTATTTGAAGGCCATGTATGGCGCCTGTAAGGCCATTATGGAACGCACCATTGAGTATGACAAGGATAATGATGGCCTCATTGAGAACACCAAAATGCCGGATCAGACCTATGACTCGTGGGTCATGGATGGACCGAGCGCTTATTGTGCTGGCCTCTGGCTGGCCGCGCTGCAAACCATGTCCGTCATGGCCACACTTTTGGATCAGCCCAACGACTGTTTGCGCTATCAGGATATCTTGGAGAAGGGCAAGCACTCGCTGGAGGAGAAGCTCTGGAATGGCAGCTATTATCGCTTTGATTTGTCACACAATCATCGCGATACGATTATGGCCGATCAGCTTTGCGGTCATTGGTATTTAAAGTCCTGCGGCTTTGACTATGAGATCTATCCCAAGGAGAATGTCCGCACAGCTCTCAAACGCATCTACGACAACAATGTGATGGGCTTTCATGAGGGCAACATTGGCGCCGCCAATGGCTTCATAGCGAATGCCAGTGAGCCCTCAAAGCCAGGCCATGTGGACAACAGCAACATACAGGCCGAGGAGGTCTGGCCGGGCGTTGTATATGCTCTAGCGGCCACCATGATACAGGAGGGCATGTTTGAGGAGGCCTTCCAAACCGCTGGCGGCATGTACAAGACCATATCGCAGCGCATTGGCATGAACTATGAGACGCCGGAAGCACTATATGGCGAGAAACGTTATCGCTCGATTGGCTATATGCGACCCCTGAGCATTTGGTCGATGCAAGTGGCCTGGGAGCGACGCCGGGCGTTGCGCGACTAATTCCAAAGTACAATCTTTATAACTAGTTGATTTACATCTATATACAATTACAAATGCGCTACCAACCAAAGATATTTCTAAGCTATCACACAAAGGTTCTTAGCTTTTAGTTTTTTAACGAGCTTATTTGGCGGTTCTTAAAGCGCCCCAAAATTTGAAAGAAAAAGGTATTCACAAATGTTTAAACAAAAGCTTTATATTTAACTATATTTAAACTAAGTTCAGCCGGTTGCTTGTTCTCAATGTCTTCTCTAGCTACTAAGTCTGTTCGAAACACAAATCAATCGATGGGCACTTGCTAAATCGCTGTTCTGTTCCAAGTACAATTATTGAAAGGTATTCACAAAGAGCACAAAACATATTTAAATGTTAGCTAAGCATGCTGTTTACATTTAAAACACGCATTATGCTGTTTCATTAATTATATATATAAATGTATTTATGTCTATTAAATAAGCCAATTATTCAAATATTTAAATTGTTGTTGTCGAAAATAAATGCGTCAACAGAAATGTGGAAAAAATAACAATTATTTAGTGTCCTTTCAGACATGAAACATGTGCACGACCTATGCGTGTTTGTACACAAAAACTGTCTCTAGAGATTTATAATATAGTTGTCGGATGCTGAGTTGGGTGGATACTTCCAATAGTATCTACATGAGAGAGCGTCTAGACGATTAATTAGCATGGCAAGGACAGACAGTTCCTATTTCATCCCACTAGTTTTAAAAATCACTCCACCTGCGTTTCTTTCTTTACAAGTTGTATTGGTAAATTCTGAAATAGGTTTTTTTAAATCTTAACAAACAGCATTTCTAGCTTTCCAAAAACATGTTCTCATTTTATTAACAGACTAAATTTTAAAACAGATCAACAACTTGCCGCAGATTAATAGAAAAATAGATGCTATATAGGAATCAGTCGACGTATAAGAACAACAGACAAAAGATTGCTCTTACCTACTCAACTGATGTTTATCGGTTGCCTTTGGGGGCGTACTGTCATGCTGATTGTTCCATTGTTGCAAAAATTTGGCATATTCCCGCCTGCTGCGGCACAATATGACCAGCGAGGAGGGTCGACAGCCAAACGATGCCAACTCCTCAACGCGCTGCCGTGTTGTCTTTAGGCTGTGGCATAAAATGCGCGGCACTTGAGCTATTTCAAAGCGCGTAAATTTGGCCTCATCAAGCAAATAGTCCAGCACTTCTTTAATCTGTAAAATGGTTTGGCTAAATGCACATATATGAATGAAGCTGACGCCCACTACGAACCTTGGTAACGCGTACTGTATGCACTTGCGGATGTCGGTCCATAATGGCCTTTGTTTCGCTAACGGTAAAGCCCAAACGATGCGCTACATACTCCACCACAGAGGAGAATTTGCCCAAGACTTTCAGCTCGTCCAGCGATAGCTTCAGCGAGCTACAAGAAATCATCTCTTCAATTGGTAAACTATGCTTAAAACTGATTTGTCTCACCGTTGCAGTATAGGTTCCGGGCAACGCACCATCCACGGCATTATTTTATCCTTTTTGGCACGTTGAGCGCGCTCCAAGCGCAGCTCCACCGATTTGGGCGTATAGCGAAAGGCCCACAGATCTTTTAGTATATTGATGGGCGATACATTGTAGTGTATCATGTGCTGTAAGTTCTTCTCAAACATTTCATATGGCATTTCCAGTATGAACAGTCGTTTCGACAGATATTTGGTGACTATTTCTGGACTAACGTCCAGTTTCTCACTGATGTAGTAAACACGATTCTTTTGCGGTAATTCGCTGGATTCTGCATTCAAAGCGCTTACCAGCTTGCGCAGGCGTGGCACCGTGAGACGCAGAAAGGGAACAAAGTGGTTAATGTCGCGCACATGCATGGATTTAATTAGCTGTAGCTTGAGGCCCAGACGTTCTGCAAGGATTGAGACTAAACATTTCGACAACAGCATTGATGTTTTAATGAGCACTTACTCAGATCTAAGACCAGCAGCCAGGGATATTCCAAGAAACTGTGCTTGCTGACGCCCTCTAGCATTAGCGTGTCCAGCGTTTCAGTTAGGCAGCGATTGCGATAGCTGCGCTGCACTTGCTCATCGTTCACAATACGCTTCACTTGATCTTCCGTGAGGCGAAAGCGTTCCCGTAGTGCTGCACTTAAGATACCCAGGCGACTGCCTGATTCCACCTCCGCACGATACGGCACATACTCATTGTCCGCCTCGCTGGACGGGGGCGTGACATGGCTACTAAGCCTGGCCGTTGCCGTAGCCAACACTGGCTGCTTGTTTTTCGAGCGACTCTCGCATTCGTATTGTGTAAAGAGTGCACGGCGTGCAGTTGTTGATCTATTTAGCAGGCGTGCTGCTTGAGTGTGGCGCTGCAGATTGAGCGTGCATTCAAAGCTGCGCACTAGGTTGCGCAACATTATACGTTTGAGCGCTCAATTTGTGTTGTAATATAATAAACTTAAACTTAACAATTTGTACGCGCTGAAAAACTTTACCAAACAGCTGTTTAATGCACAGCGTTGCCACTAAATGTGCCGGCGTGCCAATTGTTCTCTAGCTGCGCGGTCTGGCAAGGCGGGCCCATGCATAACAGCCCTGGCACAGCATATTTATGGAACCTTGCGCGCAAAGCTGAGACAATATTTAAATTTGAGTTGCATTTGTGGCCATTAATATGTCAGCCATAAATATTGATCAAGTGCAATATGTATCTCCGCTGCAGTGCTATATTTGTGCTATAAATAAAGCAAGCGACTTGCAAAACCATCAACAGCTGTTCCTGCAACAACCACAACAACACGCGACCGATGCAGATGCCAACAAGCAGCTTGCGCCCACAGCGTGTGACACGCCCAACATTATCTGCAGAGGCTGCAAAATGCAACGATACTGCAGCCTGCAGCATCTGGTCGAGGATCAAGCACATCGTGACTTTTGTCGAGTGCTCATTGAGCTGCAAAAGTCACAAAACATTGCACATCCCCTGCTTCTAGCCGGCCCGCTCTTGGGCCGCGCCCAACTACAGCAGGCCACAGCTCAACTTATGCTGGCGGTCCGCGTCAAGCTGCGGCGTCTACTGACGCGTCGCGAATGCGAACTTATTGGCTATCCCGGCTATTGTGTAGTCTGCTATCGCCTGGAGCCGCTGACAGCTTGCGTGGGCTGCTCGGGCGTCGCCTATTGCTCCGCGGAGCATCGTCGCTTGGATTGCTGCAATCACACGCCGGCCGTGTGCCGGACCTTGGCATTCTACTATTCACCCTACCGACTGTTGTCCAGTCAACTGGACATTGTGCAGCTGAAGCAACGCAGTGACTTGAAGCGCAGCCATTTGGTGGAAACGTTTTACGCTGCCACAGAAATTCGCATTGATAGCCAGCCTTGGCGCTCCTTGGAGCAGTATGAACGGTTTGCCGCTTGCTCCTCGTTCAGTGGCATTGCCAGCGTCTGCCTGGCGCTTACTAATATATCCTTTGTCGCCGCACCTCATGAGATTCTCAGCGTTTATGTGGTGGGCGCCCAGGAGCTGCATCGGAGCTACTTTCAACTGATGCACCTCAAGTTCTTCTTTCTGCAATACCCAGATGTCTGCCAGCTGGAAGTCTACCTCATTGGGCACAAGCTGCAACCCCAAACTGGCGAGGAGGTGCTCACATTTATGCAAGGGGTGAGCAGATTTAATTTAGATATATATCTATATATTATGCTAATTTGAATGATTTATATATGACCGCAGGGCTGCCAACGCAAAGTTGTCCTGTGCACATTTCCAAAAACTTTCGAGCGCTTCGTCAAAACACATAGAGTAGATCCCGTGCTGATTATAATATATAATCCCGATTTCGCGGCAATGGACACGCTGACAGAAGGTATCGTGGAACGGAAGTATCCGCATGCAGTGCAGCCATCGGAGCAGGATGACTATAGCTGGCATGGCTGCCTCTTGGAGACTCTCCACACCTATGGAGTGCCTATTTGTTTTACCTCACCCACTAAGCTGCAGGCGCGTTCGGATCTCAATTGTGTTAATGCGCTGGCCAAAGTTCATAAAATTGCCATTGAACGTGTCTACAATTGCACAGAGAATCCATATCGCGAGATATTACCTCAGCACAATCCCTGTCCCGATGACGATGAAACCGTTATTTATGCAAATAACTATTTGGAAGTTGTTTTTACAAGCATTCAATGTTAAAACCTATTACATTACAGAAAATTGTGCTGTTAAGTAACAGTACTACATAATGTTAGCAGAACAGAGGGGCAGATGTTACACGGCTCAATAGACCTAAATACTAGTCCTAAATCTTTAACAGACCCTTTATGACGTACAAGAGCTAAAAGTATTCGTTTTAACTTGTACATATTCATTAGTTTTTCCTATATATATATATATATATATATATATATATAATAAGTAATGTTAAAAAAGTTGTTTTTGTTTTTATTTTCATATTTGACTTTATTGCGCAAAAAATACTGTTTTCCAACACTGGCATATGATCAACTAACCGTTACAAACAAGTTCAAACATGTACATAAATCATGAGATATGTATCACAAAAATTCCATTAGCCTTCAAATGGACGAAACAAACATACATACATACATACATATGTATAAAAAGAAAGCACACGCACATTTAGAAAATCAAAAAGTGTTAAAAGCAATCTGACAAATATTGAAAACCATTGATTTACTCCACATCAATGTCCTTGGTGACACGGCCCACCCAATAAACGAAGCCAGTCTGCACGACAGTTGCCATGAACTTGACATTACCCTTGTAGCCTGCTGGTGGAATCCAGTCGAAGGTGACACCGCTCAGCGGACTGCCCTTGGTGGCCTTCAGATGGGTGAGCGTGTCCTGTAAATCATAAATGTTCCAGTCAGTGCTTGAATTTATCTTTATTATATTGCTGTACGCCTCACCTGTGGTCCGGAGCAGTCCAATGTCTGCGAGTGGGCCGTGTCCACAACCTTAAATTGACCCACAACACGGTTCTGGCCATCGCGAGCCTGAATTATGAAGCCCAAGAACTCATCGCCGCCCAGAGTTAATGTCAGCTTCTGATCGCCACGCACATGAGAGGGGCCGGAGAAACTATATGGCGGCTTCCTGGTCTGCAGCTCAGCACCGTGCTGGGGCGTCAGGTCCCGACAGGCAGCCTTTGGCGCGCCCTCAGAGTAGGCATTGACGCTAACAGCCAAGCAGGCGGCAAGCAAGAGCAAACGGAACATATTGTCTGTAAGTTGGGGAGTAAATTTAAAGAATTGTTCAGCATTAATAGAGACTTTAAGAAGCATTTGTCTGTCTGTTAAAGTTAACAATATGTAGTACTGTTACTTAACATCACAATGTTATCCACGGCTGCATTGATACAGACAATAGAATTGGCATCTGCCCCTCTGTTAATGCTAACATTATGCAGAACAGTTACTTTACATCACAATGTTATGCACTGCTGCTTAGCGTAAAGAATTGTTCAGCATTGATACAGACATTAGAATAAGCATCTGTCCCTCTGTTAATGTTAACATTATGTAGTACTGCTACTTTACATCACAATGTTATGCACTGCTGCTTATCGTAAAGAAAAGTTTAGCCTTGATACAGACATTAACAGAAGCATCTGTCTGTCTGTTAAAGTTAACAATATGCGGTACTGCTACCAAAATGTTATGCACTGATGCTTATCGTAAAGAATTGTTTAGCCTTGATACAGACATTAGAATAAGCATCTGCCCCTCTGTTAATGCTAACATTATGCAGTACTGCTACTTAACAGTGCAATGTTATGCACTTCTGCTTATTGTAAAGAAATGTTTAGCCTGATACAGACATTAACAGAAGCATCTGTCCGTCTGTTAAAGTTAACAATATGCGGTACTGCTACTAAAATGTTATGCACTGATGCTTATCGTAAAGAATTGTTTAGCCTTGATACAGACATTAGAATAAGCATCTGCCCCTCTGTTAATGCTAACATTATGCAGTACTGCTACTTAACAGTTCAATGTTATGCACTTCTGCTTATTGTAAAGAAATGTTTAGCCTGATACAGACATTAACAGAAGCATCTGTCTGTCTGTTAAAGTTAACAATATGCGGTACTGCTACTAAAATGTTATGCACTGATGCTTATCGTAAAGAATTGTTTAGCCTTGATACAGACATTAGAATAAGCATCTGCCCCTCTGTTAATGCTAACATTATGCAGTACTGCTACTTAACAGTGCAATGTTATGCACTGCTGCTTATCGTTTTTAAATAGCCGTTAAATATCTGCTTTAATTTGTATCTAATTGCATGCACGCTTGTTTTTCACTAATTAATTAATTAACATTTGCACTGCTGTGCGACTGTTTTTTTTTTTCTCCAATGCGCTGCCCTTGGCCAGCTTGTCCAGCTACCTGTATAATATTTTATCTACATATTGCATTTTTAATTTATGTATGAATTGAAAACCAGAATCCGCCTATGCACTTTGCCGACGACAAGTTTTTATTATTTTGATGCAGCTTCTACAGCTGGCTCTTAGCCTTGAATAATTGAAGCCGTTCCCAAATGATATTTGGCTATCTTAAAGCCGAGTTCAACTGACCAAAGACCATCTTAAGACTTCAAAATTCAGCACGCGTCGCCCATAAATCGTTTCGAAGAATTACTTTTCGATATATATGTATATATGTATATATATACAATGTATAACAAAATAATTATCAACTTGGTCGGGTTGCATTTGCATGCTGATTAAAAAAGCTTTAGAAAAAAAGAAAAAAAAAAAACAGACAACTGGTTTTTGGAGCTATACGAATTTCGATAAAACAAAAAAAAAAAAAAATAAATAAAATAAATAATACATAAAAACGAAACCCGTTTTCAGTACATTTCCATTTCCATTACCTTTATCTGATCATTTAGCTACGTTCGGGACAACAAAATCAAATAATTTATTTGCTTCGTGAGTGGGAAATGTTTCAATTGCGCTAAACATTTCCTGAAGCTTTAATTCAAGTTCAAGGCAAACGATATTAGATATGTTTCATTAGTTTCCTATCGCACCACGATCTGTTTTCAAGCCAAGCTCTTCTCACGCCGACGCAGTCGAGCATCGAAGACCTTGTCGTTGCCCAAAGACCCAAACACAAAAAAAAAAAAAACCAAGTGTCAAGCCAGTTTGAGCCCAGCCTCAAGTCTGAGATTTATATAGCCATATTCATATGCAAGCATATATATCTTGTTATATGTTAAAGTTCAGCATTGGACACAAGTTGTCGTCGGCGTTTTGTCTAGCAACATGAAATCAATGTTTTTCTTGTTATTTTTTTTTTTGTTTTTGTTTTTTGGCTTTAGGCCTTTGGGCAAACCGGTTGGTTTATTTGTTTAAATGAAACATCGACGTTTTCTGACGTCTGCCTGGCGCAATAACAGCAATTATTCGAGTTGAGTTCATTGAAGCTTGAAGCTCGAGTACAACTATAATATTGGAATTATGGTAATCTGGACGCAAAATATAAATGCGAAAAACTGGCAAAATTTATTTAATATTATAATTATATGCAATTAGTATATTCAGTATGCCTAGCTTTGTATTCGTTGTGAAACTTATTTATTCAAGTTGATTCCTTTTCTCAAGTCTGTTTTTGTGAATATTGAACTTTGAGCCGCAGTCCTAGCGTTATTATTAAAATAATATTTTTATGACACTGCACGTTTGCTTAGTTGAAGTTTGGTTAAACCGTTACCTACCGCTTAAAGACAAAACCACACGGCACAAAAGAAAAACTTGAAATGAGCTGAAAATTCTACAACAGCCGCCTATTTATACCAGCAAGATAATATTAAAGCCAACTACAAGCCGGTCCACTTAAACTATAATAAACAATAGCTTTGTGGACCGGTCAGCGGCGAGCTTTGGCCAAAAGCTAAGCGCCCAAAAGCTCTGAGGCTGAAACGCCATTTCAATGAGAACTTTTTTGCCTCGGCTCATTTCAGGAATACCGAAGCATGTCCGCCCGACTAGCATGGCTCATACGTGTTGTGCTTAGCTAAACGCTGACTAATGCTTTGATCTAAATAAACAACAAATGCCAAACAATTAGCGACATACATTTTTTTTTGTTATTTATTTTTTTTTTTGTATTTCTCAATATAAATTCGCTAATAAATGTCAAAGCGTTTAATTGGAAAGTTAAATAGAAAACCTATGAGACTCTTAGGTGCGAAAATGCATTCATGTAAAGTTTAGCGCTCCTTAAAATAGGCCAATATTGGATTGGTTCGTAGAGCTGTCCAATAAAATTATTATTGATTTTCAATATTTGCCATTTGTTTATTTTTATAGGTTCCCAATAATAGGCTATCCCCAATATAAAGCTAAGTTGCTGTATAACAGGCTTTTATAGAGAAATTGCACATCTGATATACTTGTGTAAGGGTATTAGGTCTTCGTTAACTCCAAGACAAATGCTGTTGCTGTGTGCTTTAAAGCTCCCAATTTTAACGGCATCTTCACATTTGTTTGCATTACCCGTTTTTAGATAGCGGGCTTTTGCTGCGTTGCATAAACTTTCAAGGATCTGGCGGCTCTCCAGTGTTGCCACATAATTGCGTTTTTCTGTCATTTTAAACAGTTTGATTGGCGAAAAGGTATTACAAATAATTCTAGCTTCTCAAACGTCAAATAGGAATTGCGAAAGCAAATCTTAGCAGTCCTTGCTTAGACACGTTAAATGTTTATTAATATTTAACTGAATCCAAAATATGGGAGCAGAGCAATCAGCCTTGCTGGTCTGCACACAAACTGGGAAACCGGAAAGGCCTCTGAGGCTGCAAAATGCCGAACAATTTTTTCAACTGTATTTCGATAAAATGCCAGAACCCAAAACAGGACCAGTAACAGAAGCGCTGCTCCATTTGATAATGCATGCGCCACAGCAGAGCTTGGGTAGGTTGTTCAGCAAGCTACAAAAATTCCCATTAAATCAAATACAATTCATCTGTAGAATCCAGAGAGCAGCAGGCCAGCTGGGCCAGTCAACAAGAGCCAGATTCGGGTTATGAAAACGACGAGCTAGAAACGGAAGAAACGAGTGAGGAGGAACAGGATATTGATATGGTATCGGAGGAAGAAATTATCGACCAATTATCCGATAGTGATATGAGCATAGAATCCAGTTCAACTATATATAATATGCGAAATAACGATGACAGCGATTTTGAGCTGATCCCACTGGAATTTGTTGATCTACAGCCCATAGATCTGCTCAATATTGATGATCCTCAGCTGGAATTTGAGCAGGAGTTTATAATACGTGTTGCCGATTTGAATGAAGAATGAACAAATCCGTTTTTTTTTTCTTTTGGGCTAGTTACAGTTAATAGTTTTCTAAAGATGTTTTTTTTTTTTACATAAATTAAAACTTTATGTACAAGCACTGTCCACGAAATTCTACTTAAAATTAACCTTTTTCAATCTTAGGGATTTAATATTCCTCACAATGCCTCTGCGTTCCTCGCGATGCTTTTTCAACTCCGCTTCGCGTTTCTTTGCCATATGCTGGTTCTTCTTTTCTCTATTCACCTCGAAGGTCATTTGACGATTGCCCAGGGAGCGACCCACATTGGTCACTTGTCCTTCCAGGCTGGCCATGACGCGCACACGATCCTGTAGACTGGCCTGTTTGATGCGTTGCTCCGCCTCGCTGTTGCCATGGCTATTGTCCAGCGGCGTTAGCTTGAATGGCGCGCGACTGCTGGATGTGTTGTTGTAATTGCCATTTGCCAGTGGCGCCGCATAATCATCCGGACCATCCGGTTCCTCATCCTCGTTCTCTGCTTGCTGATCTGCTTCTTCCTCGTCATCACGTTGACGCTTGACCTGTTTGTAGGCCTGCTTCATTTCTTTGACATACTCACGCCTATCCTCATCATCTGAGGAGGCTTCATCGCCGCTGCTCGCCTCGCTATCACCATCGCTCTTCTCGAAGCCAAACAGATCCTCATCGTTATCGCTGTCCTCGTGCGCCTGCGCCTCCTCTGCGTGCAGCTCAGAGACGCGTGCAACCTCAATGCGCTGTTTAATCGCCTTTGCCTTAGATTTGTCCAGGCGATTGAGCACTGGTGCAAGCAGACGATACTCCTCGGCCTCCTTGTTGACAGCAAAGTCACTGTTCTCGAACATCGCCTTGAAACGTGTATCTTGCAGCAAACTGGGCATATTGCGTTGCTTGGCGCTATTTGAGGGATTCGCCTGCTCGTCCATAATTTTAAGTGCCAGCTCCTTGTTAACTTTGGGTAGTTTGGATTCAATTTGCAAACGCGACTTGCGCTCGCTCTCAATTTCCTGCCGGACTTTCTCTTTACGGAAGCGATCAAAGGCAAACGGTTCCACCACAGCCTTTGCCTTATTGTACAGCCGCACATCCATAAAGTAGCTGGTTAAGAAGATTGCATTTAAAAGGAGTTGATAATAGATAAAACCAATGACTCACCCATGCATGTAGCCCTTGAGCAGATTGCTGCCTATGAGATGCTCCAGGCCCAGTTCGGCGAGTTCCTTTTGTGTAATAAATTGATAATCATCATAGACGTTCTCCACAACCTCCGATTCAATCTCCTCAGTAAGATTATCCAAGAAGCTGCACCAGCGCGGCGCTGGGCCCATGGCCGGCACATAGTACGTCAACATTTTGACATCCTCTTGGGCCAAAAAGAACATGCCCGTATCGGGTATGGTGCAAAAGTCATTAAAAGACGATGTGGACTCCACATAGGCGATCTGCTTGCCGGTCTGCTCATCCCATAGCTTAAGCGTGGCTTCATCTAAACTGTAGACAGCATTCTGTGCCGGATTGAATGCCAGTCGCTTGATGGGCACCTTGTTTAGATGATCTTTGATAAGCAGCGGCTGGCGAGAGCGTATATCGTACAGCAGCACATGTCCCGAGCCAGTGCCAACGGCCATTTGTAGACCATTGCGATATTTGAGTGCTGTGACAGAGGGGAACACTTTGACGTCAGGCAGTTTAATGGCCACATCTAAGGTTGCGCAACGCTGTTTCATGCGTGGATCCCAGGCCTCAACTGTGCCCTCTTTGCTGCCCACCGTAAGCAGCTGATGCTCAGGATTTACCTCGCACGCGTTCAAACAACTCGCGTCCGATTCATACGGCTGCAGAAACTGGCCACGCTCCAAATTAAGGCGATAAATATCCTGGCGATGAGAAATATTTAGCTCGAATTGATTGATTGTCTAAGTGCTTCAGTATACTCACCCTGCCCACGCCCACAATGTACATATCACAGCTGGGCTTATGATACTTCATGTCACGGCCAAAGCGTGGAATGCGAAGCCTGTAGTGTCGTCCGTGTGCCGCATGGATTTCCACGTACCGATCGCATTGCAGGAACACCATTTTGCTGTAATCATCGCTTATCACCTCAAACGTGGTCACCTCCGAGTCGAAGCAGCGCTCAAATTTGATGGACAGATTGGAGACCTCAAAGCATTTAACACGTGGCTTATATGTGCCTGTCGCCAGTATATACTGCTGATCCGGGCTCATCCGTATGCTGGTACAGACGCCGGGCATTTCAAAGTCTTGTATTAGCTCAATCTGGCGCCGGGAATCCGCCTTCTTCTTCAGCTGTGAGCGCTTGCGGCGATCGGTGAGCCACTTAATTGAACAAACATTAATTGCCTGCCGTGTCCAATTAATAAACTATTACTTACATCTGGCACCGATTTGCCGGCGCTCAGGTTATAAATTTTCACATCGTTGACTTCGTTGACAAACATTACTGCATTTTAATAGCAAAAATCGTGCATAAACAAAATAAAACACGTGCGGTATAACAGTGCTGTGCAGCAAGATAACTGGATAATTTTACAGCACTGGCAGCAAGTGCTGCGCACAGCTGTTAATTTGATTACCATATATATATATATACCAAAAACCAGTGTGGCAACACCGCGCAACTCGTCGCTAGATTTGCAAACAAGAAAACGCAAAAGAAATTTGCTGCTTGCTGCCAACAGTTTTTATCTTTGCTATTTAAAGTTATTAATTTCGGTGTTTTATATATTCCCGCATATTTATGCTTATTGTGCTGCACATGTAATAGGCACATAATTGTGCTGTAATCGCATTTGCTTAACTGAAAATATAAACAAATACAGAAGCGTTACACACACACACAAAGAAGCACCCAGCAATATAAACCCCCCCGCGAGGCCCGTGCTCGTTGTTGCCGCCCTACATTCCTGTTCCCTAGCAGAAACCAAAATACAGAAAAAATAAAAACGGTGAGTAATACGTTATTTTGTTGCTGTTAAGCCAATTATATAGTGCTGCCGATTTGGTTGCGTCCCAAACTATGTCTTATAATGTACGTAACGTGTGGGTGGGTCGTCGAAGGGAGGGAGGGATGCAAAGACAACTTTCCCTTGTACTATATAAAATACTCGCTAGGTTGTTTTTGTTGTCGATTTTGTTGTAGGGCAGCACAGTTTCCCTCCCTCCCCCCCTTGCACTCATGCCCTTGTAATTGATATTAGGTCTCTCTGCCTTGGTCGACTCCCCTCAATTGTTGTTTTTGTCGTTCTCTACTGCCCGGGCGCGCCTTGTGTTTATTTTATCAAATAACGGTGCTTTAGCATGCCACAGGGAATATTCACACACACACACGCACATGCATATATTAATTATTTTTTGCGATAAATTTAAAACTCATTATCAACGTCTTTTATGCACAACAGACATTTTAAGCTTCAATGTTTTTTTTTTGTCCCTGAGTCAACTAGAACAAGCTGCGATTTCCTAAGCGCTGCAACCGCTTTCATTCATTGTTCTGTGATTGACTCGTGATAAGGGGGAAGCCGTAATCTATACAATACGTACAATAATTTATTGTTTGTTTAATAGGCATACAACACATAGCTACTAGAATTATGCAGAATTTTACTGCAAGCAATACAATATAGCAATATATATAATACAATATGCTACTAAATACACTCAGAACAAAAGCTACGAGAATTATGCAGAATTTAACTCCAATTTAGCAAAGTAAGAGGGTCTAGTCGGGAGCTCCCGACTAAGGGATACCCTAAACCCTCTTCTTCCATCATCGAATGCATATATATATTCTATTTTAGAAGCATTATGTCAAGTTTGGTGACTCTAGCTCTTATTATTTACCAAAATTCCCCATATCGATATTGATTTTTATCGATTGCTTGGAAACGGAGTGAGTTATCGATTATCGGAAACAAATTCGATCTGCGCAGGCACTAGGAGCACCTACATCTAAAATTTCTCTAGCTCTTATAGGATCTGAGATCCTTGCGTTCATACATACGGACGGACGGACAGACAGACGGACGGACAGACAGACAGAGGGACATGGCTAGATCGACTTGGCTATTGATGCTGATCAAGAATATATATACTTTACGGGGTCGGAGATGCTTCCTTTTGCCTGTTACATACATTTGGATTTTGCACAAACACAATATACCCCTATACCCATTTTTAATGGGTTCAGGGTATAAAAACTATTCTCGCCAATCTGTTTGTATTTGTTTAAAGTGCAAAATAATTATTTGCAGTGAATTTTTCAAAATAAAATGTCGCCTTTTTGGGTTAGTCAAAGCTCAATCAGGATTGTTTTAACTACGTTTTGTCAAGTTTCAGACATTGTTTAATTCCTTCTATACTTATTTTAAGAACATGCCAATTGAAATTCATTAGTTTTGTCCTAAATCTATACTGAACCCGACAATATTTGAGCACACATATTATAAAAGTAATAAATTATTCTTTGAATAATAATAATTTTGCCATTGTTATATACGCTTTATTCGTGCCATAATAAGTATTCTATGTATATTACGTGACACATGTAATGTAATGTATTTTCCATTGAGTCTTGTGTTTGATTACGATTAATATAAAACAGCGAATCAAGTCAAATAAATTTATTTAAAATAGCCTTTGCTAACAAATTCGATTCGGTTTCGACTGTTAGTCCTATATATATCTCTATATATCTCTATATATATATAAAACTGTCCTGACTGACTTATTGATGATCAACGCACAGCCCAAGCCGTAAGAGCTCGGATGCTGAAATTTTCACTGTAGTTAACTCATATGATGAAGGTTCAAGTTAAGACGGGGTATGGAAGCATGGAAAATTCGCGAAAAACGTTTGTATGTTGTATGAAACTTTTTTGTTTACCATCCAATGGGCCTCAAACTCAATTTCAAAGTTCTTTGTACAAATTCATTTGAGGGGTGTTTCACACTTTTCCAAAAACATATTCTTGGTGGAAATGGGGGTC